TCTTTGTTGCTCTGATTCGTTTAATTAAAAAAAAAAAGATCAAACCATCATGAAATTCAAAGTGCATAAGGAGAGTAGAAGCCTACTTTCATGGCCACCCAAGAGCTCAACAGCATGAACAAAACGAGCATGGAGAGTACTTGTCCATCGCATCCTTGGAGCCCTAGTGCTCCGTTTAACCGGATATCTTGATAAAAATCTTGATCTAAAAAACCCTCCTTGTTGAAAATTAGGTCTAGTAGAGGCACAAGAACTAATTGTGTTGTTAATATTATTATTGCTAATAATAGAACAAGGAGAAGAAGGTATAGGAAATGTAGTAGTAGTAGTAGTAGTACTAGCAAAGGGCTTTTGATGGTACACCGGAATGCCTCTTATTATCATTTGATTTTGTTGTGAGGTGTTATAATTTTTGAGATTATGTAAATAATTAGGTTTTGTTGGATTATTGGATAAAGAAAGGTCAAAACAAGAAGAAGTGTTACTAGAATTTGTTGATTCCACCACATGAGCTCTTTTCCAAAACCCTAAATCCATATGCACATCATCTTCACTTGTAATTTTCCTCTTCCAAGTTGATGATGAAGGTTTGATGTTTGGTGGGCTGATTTTTAGGGATAAGTCTGGTTGTGCTGGGAATAGTTCCATATATCCTTGTTACTTCTTCTGTTCTGACACCGTTCGAATTTCGAGAGTCCAAAAAAAGGAACTTTAGCACATAGCTAGATTCAATTTTTTTCTTTACCCTTTTTTCTCCTTCTCTTCTTTGTTGCTCTCTAGGTTCTCTTCTTTTTTAGCTAGTTGTTTCTTGAGTTATTTGAAGGTTATTACTAACAACTATGATATATATACTAGAAGATGGATTATTTTTTGAGAAAATTAAAGAGATAGGAGGAGGAAGAGAAAATTGTGGATTTTTCCTTTGGGATTTGAGGTCATTTGTAGGGATTTGAGATTGGGAAATAAGAGAGAGGAGGTAGAAGAAAGGACAAGGTATAAATGAAGTGAGTGGTTGTTTTTTTTTGTTGAGTGGTTTTTTTTTTTTTTTTTTTTGGGGTTTTTTTTTTTTTTTGGGGTTTTTTTTTTTTTTTGAGTGGTTTTTTTTTTTTTTTGGGGGGTTTTTTTTTTTTTTTTTTGGGGTTTTTTTTTTTTTTTGGGGGGTTTTTTTTTTTTTTTGAGTGGTTTTTTTTTTTTTTTTTTGGGGTTTTTTTTTTTTTTTTTGGGGGGTTTTTTTTTTTTTTTTTTTGGGGTTTTTTTTTTTTTTTGAGTGGTTTTTTTTTTTTTTTGGGGGGTTTTTTTTTTTTTTTTTGGGGTTTTTTTTTTTTTTTGAGTGGTTTTTTTTTTTTTTTGGGGGGTTTTTTTTTTTTTTTGAGTGGTTTTTTTTTTTTTTTTTTTTTGGGGGGTTTTTTTTTTTTTTTGGGGGGTTTTTTTTTTTTTTTTTTGTGTGTGAGGTAGCATATCTTAGAAAATGACACTTGAGGGGGCTAGTGTGGAGAGGGGTTGGGTAAGTAGGGTCTCTACTTTTAAGTGGACGAACAAATTCAAAATTTAAATTTTGTGAGTTTTGAATTTTAAGGAAGGATAATTTTTTCTCCATATTTAAATCTTAGAATTAATTACTTATTTTTCAAATCATTTTTTAAAATCTAATACTAAACATCAATTAATATGAATAATATAGTAAAATATTCATGTTAATCATATTTTTTAAAAGATATGTAAAATTTAAAGTGGACAAATAAAAATGAACAAATCAACTAATATAATAAAGAAAAAAAATACTATATACTTATAATTTTTTATGAGACGTGGAACGTGACGAAGTAATACTCCCTCCGTCCTGATTTACGTGTCATATTTTGACTTTGATACATTTATTAAGGAAAACAATAATTGATATAGTGAGTTTACCATTTTATTCTTATTAATTGATAGAGTCTCAAATATATTTACTCACTACATTTTTTGAAGGGCATCAACTCAATGTTAATAAATTGAGAGTATAATAATAAAAAAATGTTCCTTGATTTGTTAAATATGACAAGAAAAAATAGAAATTAAATAAGAAAATATTTGATAATTAGTAAATCGTGCTGGAGAAAGTATTGAAAGGAGGGTGTATATTTCACTATTCTTTTTTGGATTCTCATTTGGTGTCTGGAGTCCATGCTGGAGCCTCGACTAAATTTGAATTGCGCACTGTCAGGCCTATTCAGGGGTAGCACTCCCAACAAGATTTTTTCCATATCCAAAACTTAAATCCGAAACCTCTAATTAAGGTTGAAGCAGTCTCACCACTGCACCATAGCTCACAACCCATGCTGATAGTATATTTCATTTTAAGGGTGGGTGGCACAACCACATAATTTCTAGACCTATACATTCACATGAAATGATTTTGCACAAATTCCCATGTACCAATAATGAAACTTACTAATCACCGAATTATGATGAACTATTTTGAGTTCAAGTTCTAAAATGGTGGAACTATTTTGAGAAGTTGTATGCAAAGTTTTTGAAGTGTGAATTTTTGAGTTTAATTTTGAGGTATTTTTGAGATACGTGGTGTCTAAGGAGAATATTAGGGTGAATTCGTTCAAAGTTGAGGTAGTTAGGGGCTGAACGAGGCCTACTTCAGTTACCGAGATTCGAAGTTTCATAAGATTTTGAGTCCAAATTAAAAAATGGTGAACTATTTTGAGTTTTTTTTTATAATTAAAACTAATCATTATCTTGGAGTTTCAGTTTTCACAATTAAGTATAAATTTATAACCATAAACAATAATGATTTTTCAATTATATGGCTAAAATATAGGTCTTTGTAAATTTTCCTGAGTTATCTACTTTCACTCGATACATAAGTTTAAGAAGCAAAAGAATATATCCAAATTATTAATTTATCTGATTTTCTATATTTAGTTGCAAAATTTCACGATACACACATCACACATGCCTCAAAATAGGAAGATTTGTTTCGACTACAAAGGAAAATTCTCCAAACAAATAATAATATAAAAATAGACCCTACAAAAAAAAATTGAGAAAAAAAGAAGAAGACATGCTCATACAAGACTTGACCATTGATCATATATGCTTGGCAAAAGAAGAATATTAGTATGATTTTCTCTATACCATCACAAAATTATTATTTTTATGAGATTGAAGCTGAGATCTCTGGTTAAGAGTTATTGGATTCCAAAAGAAACTCAAATCTCAAATAAGATTTCAACCCAAACCTCTTATGGTTTTTATGTATTCTTCATGGGTTCAATTTATTATGATTCAATTACTTAAATTCAATCCTATTGAGCATGGTTTGATTCAATTATGTGTTTTCCAATTGATTTCATAACTTGAGAATTGTGCTTTTGAGGTTGAGGGAAGAGAAGTTGTATGCAAAGTTCTCGAAGTGTGAATTTTTGCTTGATTTTGAGGCATTTTTGGGATACGTGGTTTCCAAGGAGGATCGATATTGGGGTGAATTCGTCCAAGGTTGAGGCAGTAAGGGGCTAGACGAGGCCTACTACAGTTACTGAGATTCAAAGTTTCATGGAACTGATAAGCTACTACAGACGTCACTCCACCACAACCCTGGTCACAAAACATGACTAATGAAGTAGTAATTGTCACACTCTCATTATCCAAACAATGTATAGACGTCACTCCACCAAAACCCTGATCACAAAACATGACTAATGAAGTAGTAATTGTCACACTCTCATTATCCAAACAATGTATTTGACATAGGTGTAGGATCCTCCTATTATAAGACTAAACAAATTAGCCAAAAAGTTGGAAACATATTGAATCTTTCTAGAGACTTTTAGCAAGTGAACCTTATAGAAAATCCTCAATATATCTTATGAGAAAAACTCATTGAATTATGCTCCTTTTTATTTTGATAAGACCCCATTAATTAACTTTTAGTTATGAGCAAACTCAATACAATTGACCCTTCAATTTTGTGAAGGGTAAAATCAAATCTTTTACTATGTGGTGTCTATGGCTCATTGGTCACAATTTGTCTTTATTTTCCTCTCAAAAAAATTCTGTTTTTTACTCGCCCATGGTTTTCTCTTATTTTCCCTTTTTTCTCAATTCCATGCTCGTGAAAAAAAAGAAAAAAAGACACTACTAGGATATTTGGGCCTACAATACATGGCAGTCCAATCAAATAGTTATTTCCGTTCGTTTTAATTTATATGACGCAATTTACTTTAATTAAAATGAATCTTACAAATTTATTAATATTATTTATATAATTACTAAATTTTGTCACTGGACGTAAAATGAGTAGTTCAAGTTTTTTTAAAATAAAATAATAATAATAAAAATAGTATCATTCTTTTAGAGACGGAGTATAATACATGTAAGGTACATGAAAATTGTGATAACTTTTGTTCAAAATATAGCTCCAAAAAATACATTTTGCAAGAATTTAAAAATTCAGTATGCAAATCCAATATGTATGATCCATTTATCCATGTAGAAGTCGTTCTAGTTTCCAAGTTCAGGTCGAGTCTCTTATAGGCCTTGGCCCTTGGGTTCATGTAGCTTCGCAAAATCAAGTCCCTCAATTTTTTTTCGCTTTTTATATGTTAACATGTCAACTTTCAATAACTAAGTTATATTGATCGATCTTAGTAGAGGGAAGATCGATATTGAGAAAGCGGAAAGTGGTGTGGAAAAACACCGTTAAAGGAGGATTTTGGAGCTTCATGTGCATCTTGCGTCCAATAAATATTGTAATACACTTGGTGATAGTGATTTAAGTGAATAAATTATATCATTGAAATTATGCAAATTAAATTCGTAAATTACTAGTCTCGCTAACATATAATCGCAATCATATTTATATTTTAAAAAAATAAAAAATAAAGCAAGATTGAATGTTCGAAAGTAGTTTAAATTAATGGGAGCTATATGTATTTTCATCAAACTAAGGGGAGCTATATGTAAATTCTCAAAGAAAGCCTATATTTCTTATCTGCTCCATTTTTCACAGAAGAAACAGAGAAGCAAACATGGCTTCTTCTTCTTCAGTGGCTCTCAGTTTTCTCTACCAAAACCCCATTAAAGCTTCACTCTCAATTCCGAAAACTTTTTCTCCTTACTCAAAACTCACATTCCCATCTATTGCGAGCTTTTATTCTGCAATTCCCCGTTTGGATTACAGCAATTTCAAAAAAATCAATCCATGCCTTCATTGCAGCAATCTTCCTACTGCTTCCACAAATAACACTCAGTATGAGGTAATTTTTGTTTTTCATTAAGTACATGAATACTTTAATCATAGACCCATTTGGCTGCTACGCAAAATTCATCTTCTTTTGGGGAAAACTGTATTTACTTTTTTGCCACTGCCATATGCAACTTATCATTACGTTCAATCAACTAACAGATTGATTTAGTAATTAATTTTCGTATATTTTGATAAATGTTTTAAGTAGTACCAAACACATCTTTAAGTCTAATTGGAGTTATTGTTAACTTTTACGTGCAAATTCGAGCTACCAAAAGATGCATCTTATATGTGAAAATTGCATTGATGCATATTATGTATTGTTTCATAATGTGTGTTTGTGTTTGTGTTGTATTGTATAGTAGTGTGTTGTTTAATGAATACAACGTTTGGATTGATTGTATAGTTCTCCGTCGTTATATAATGTCACACATTTATAATTTGAATGGTAAACCTAAAAAAGTTGTAGGGTACGGTGTAGAGCTATTATGAAAATGAAAATGTAGGGTACATGATAAAATAGAATTATTAGTAAATAATAAATAAAGACAAAATGAGAAGAAAATAAGATATGCGATCACACCAAATCGATCATTACACAAAATGGGTTATTTAGTCGTGTTACCTAACGATATGGATTTAAACAATACAATACAATAGAATTTAAGTAACAATCAAAACAAACATTGTACTTAACTAACAATACAATACAATACAATGGGTAACAACCATCCAAACAAGGTGTAAGTCTACATGGTAACCTGTAAAGCATGAAATTTATCCAACAACATATTTTGTTCTTTGTATTTGGTAGTAAAATCTACCTTCACGAGGTAGGGGTGATGTCTGCGTACACTCTGCCTTAACCCAAACCTCACCTGTGGGATTTTACTATGTATGTTGTTGTTGTATTTGGTAGTAAATTTTTAAAATAGTATCAACTACCTGTGAACTTTGCTATTATTCAGAATGAGTTTGCTTCTCTTTACCGACCAAATTGTGAAACTTATTGCAGTTTTCAGATGGCTCCTCTGAGGTGGAGTTAAGATTAGAACTTGGGCAGGGAGATGTAACTCCTAAGGATATATATGTAGATGCAAATGAGAGCTCATTAGCAATTAGAGTAAAGCAATCTGGAATTGTTCGGACTCTCATGGAAACCAGTACTCTGTATGAGAAAATAAAGCCTGCAGAGACAATATGGTAAATGAAAGCACAATTTTAGTGAATTTGTTATATCCTTGTGCAACGTTTGCTGAAATAAATCGTGTCATGTAGGTACATAGATGAAGATCAATTAGTAATTAGCTTGAAGAAGCAAAACTCCGAGTTGAAATGGCCTGACATTGTGGAGTCTTGGGAGTCCCTAAGTGCTGGAATTACACAACTCCTTAGAGGAACATCAATATACTTAGTTGGGGAATCAACTGAAATCAACCAGAGGATTGCTCGAGAACTGGCTGTTGGACTAGGGTATGTTCCTCACTTTCATGAGTAAATGATAATGCTGCATACAGTGACGGAGCTACAGTATTCTTATATGCCATATATTAGTCCTCTTTCACCGAACCTAGGTGGAAAGAGATGAATGGATCATGATAAATAGCCTGAATGGTGGTTTTCCAACATCATTTTTTTTTCACTTGACAAAAGAGATGGATTAGTTACAATTTTCCTTCTTCCACATTCATGATCGTCCTTTTACATTACATTACTGCAATTTCCTCTTTCCCCTGCACCCTCGGGATTCTTGCTTGCTCCTTTAGTCAAGATCTTCTAAAAAATCTGTTCAACTCTTATGGTGGTTAGGTACACTCCACTTTGTACAAAGGAGCTGCTAGAAGCATATGCCAAGCAATCAATGGAATCGTGTGAGTTACATCCATTTTTCTTTTCACAGAAGAAGATAATTATCGTTAAACAATAAGTTTTACAAGGAAGAACAATAGAAAAAGAAGTGTTTACAAGGAAGATCTGAATTTTCATAACTGCACAATGATAAAGGAGATAACTAAGGCAAGAGATAAAGCAAATATTGGATTTTGAACATTGTGTGAATGATGCTCACTGGAACAATTTATTTACTTTCTCACACATCTAAAGGCATAGTAGCTCTTTGTTTGGCTTCACTTAAAAATTTCTTCTTTCCTTTTTCTTTTCTTTATTCAATTGTTCTCTAACCAATTCCAGGGGTTAATGAGGAGGGGTCTGATGCTGTAGCAGAAGCAGAAAGAGCTATACTAGAGAGTCTGAGTAGGTATTTACTTTGTCTTGCATATCTTACTCATTTCACTTGGTACTGGAAGTAGAATGTATTTATATTTGATTCTTGTTTTAGCCAAGCCCGTGCTGTTATTGCAACCTTGGGAGGGAAGAAAGGCGCTGCTGGAAGAGTAAACCAATGGAGGCATCTTTTTGCTGGATTCACCGTCTGGCTTTCCCTTTCTCAAGCCACAGGTTAGGAAACTAAGCTCTCTCTCCCCTTCATTTGGATATACAGTATGTTTTACTAGCCTATCTATTGTTACATTGCTCTTTTTTTTCCGTCCATGTGTTTCCAATCCCCTTCCTTAGATAGTCGAGCAGTTACAGAATACATAGTTATTACAACTTTTTTCTTTTTTGAGCAAGGAATGGAGAACTCAAGTGTACATCATAAATCAGCTGACAAACTGCTCTTCTTGCATGTGGCATTATAAATTGATATTTGTAGTGAATGCTTCTCTGAATTGACTCCAGGGAAGTGGTAAAATTCCTTAGTTGACAGGCCAATATAGCTATAGGTATGTACATGTGGACCATAAATAATGTGAAAAAGAAAAATCACAAAAACTAATCACCCTCTGGGAATATTAATTTTAGCAGAAAAAGTAGTATATTTTCTTTATTTGATTCTTTTTGAGTCTTTCAATTGCTAGAAACATTTCTCTACTGTTGATACTATATAATTTACAGAGAGAAAGAGATAAGAAATGGACATGAAAATAGGAACTGAGGTAGAAACAAGGTTCTCCTGATTCTAAGTGCTTCTGTGAACCCCTATGTGAATCAAACTTAGTAGACAACTATTGGAAGAATCTTAAAATTGGCATCTTAGAATTTTGCACTTTTGAAGTTAGAATCACTGGCTAACACCTGATCGATCAAGTGCGGATAATTGATCATTAAACTGAGAGCAACTGGAGTAAGCAAGGAGGATGAGAAGGTGGTCATCAAAAGTATAATGGAGCTTCAACTTTCAAGTCCATGTTGAAATTGTAGGAACATGACATCACCTCTCTTGCAACAGGGGGACCAGACTGGGGGAATAGCAAACAGTATCCTTTGAAGGACCCCATACATACAGTACAACCCATTAAGAATACTTTTCTTTGTTGTGCTGAAACAGTTCACAACTACCAAGTGCACCGCCAAATTATAATGGAAGTTGTCATATTTCTTAAGCTTGTCGTTGTCTTTGCTAATATCAATTTCAGATGAAGAATCTGCAAAAGAGGAGGCAAAAAGGAATATGCAAGATAGTGGTCGAGGTTACTCTAACGCGGAAGTGGTAGTCAAGCTCGGAGGTTGGGATCCTAACTATTCAAAAGCAGTAGCTCAGGCTGTGCTTAGTGCCCTTAAGCGCTTGATATTGGCAGATAAAGACCTTCCAGGTACACTAAGTCTCATGATCATGCTTTGTTCTATTCTTAGTTATTCACAAATGAACTTTGAGTTTGTTGTGGATATAAAATGAGCTCATTTCCCTTGACATGAACCAGAAATCTACACAAGCTTGTCATGTGTTCTTTACTGTTATTTTTTTCTGTTCTGAAGGGAAAAAGAGTTTATACATAAGGTTGGGCTGCCGAGGTGATTGGCCAGACATCAAACCCCCAGGCTGGGATCCATCAACGAGCCTTGATGCATCTTCTCCGCGGTCATAGCAGAATCACAGTTTATGCATTTAAATGTAACTATTTCTCTACCCCTTTGGCTCTTGTATCAATGTATCATAATTAGAAAGTTTCTTCTTGAGGATATCAAGTTGGATATTCTCAACCTGCTCTTTCTATATTAAGGGGAAACAAAGACTAAGGTCTTGGCCTGCATGGACAAGACTGATTGATTGTCCAGAAAGTTTCCCATTGAGCCCCAAAGGCCATCCGGTTAGTCAGATTTTTTTATGGAAAATAGTGAATTTGTATGCTGTTAATAATTGTCACAAATGTTGCTTATATTCATTCTTTATTCTAATACAGTAACACCTCATTCTACTGGCATCGTTTGCCTAATAATTTTATGACTGCTATAGTGAGGTGTTCTTACATATGTATAATATTATGAGCACACATTTAAATACAATTTTCCTCTTGGACAATTGAACTTAAAAATCATGTGGATGAGATTAAACTTGATTATCATAAATATGTTTACAGAAAAGTAAAATATAACGCGAAAATCTATTCTAAAGAAATTTAGATTGAAATAGTGAAATATTATTATAATTTATAACGAGGTTTGAAAGTATCTTTGTATGTAGTAGTGTCTTTCTGATATCTTCTTGGTTCATACCAACAACCCATACGACCCATAAGTTAACCGTCAACACCACAAATTATGGAACAAAGATGTAATTGAAACACAACAGAGCCACTACTCGATTGTTACATAGAAGTTCTCTTGATAAAAAATTTCCCAATGTGGAGTACGGTAATTTAGAAGAACGAACCAAAAATCCTTTCAAACACAATTAAGAGTATAATATATATTCCGGAAGCTGCCTGTCATTTTCAATTTTCAAGAGATTTGGCCAAAAAATACACACATCATGTATCTCAAGATTTAAGAGTTTCTAGGAGGCAAGTGAATTATAGAAACATGATAATGCAAGTAAAGTAATCGCATCGAGGGAAACTCACAAAGGACAAATTTCACCCCTCAGCTTCAAAGAGATTAAAGTACAATGCATAAGCTTTAGTTAACATACAATGACACCGATGTTTGCTACAGTTTTATTCTCTTCAAGGCCAGGGTGGGGTGGGAACGAAGTTGGTCGCATGTCACCCAACCTAAAACCAATTTAAGCTCCAGTAACTTCTGCTGTGCACCAATTATTGCCATCACAGATAGGAGAGAAATGGAAGTCGCATATATAGAAGAAAAGAAGGGGCAAGTCTCGACATAACTGCATCTAATCACAAAATGTTCAAAGAAACTAAAGCTACATAACACCAAGAACAAAGAAAAGAGATAGAGAGAAGAGGATGACGCTTGATTGGTAAAAGTGGACTCTTGGCCACCAAGCAGGCAAACCACCTTTCTGGTACAGCCTCAACAATTACTCTCCCCACTCGGCACATTCATAAAGCATGGAGACGCGGAAGGCGGCTGCAAACACAAAGGACAAACAATTAAAACCTCAAAAAACCATTCTATACAATTCATTCAGTAGCCTGCATATACCAACTGCACATCCATATACTTGCCAAGAGTAGAATATATAAATCCCACCACATAAAAGAAGCAAAAGAGACTACAGAGAACATAGCAACAAAGGGAAGACCCAAAAAGATGTACTAATAAGATGTGTAAAGACCTATACCAACCAAATTAATAAAATAAACCCAGGAAGATGTAAACCAAGAGAAGTCACGTTGTGGAACGAGACCTCACAAATTTCACCCGTACATCTGAGAAATTCAAAGATCCAGGTGTAAATCACATTTACACTCTCTTAGTTACAAAAATATGCAGCACCTCGTATTTCAGGTCAAATAAATGGTATACTTAAGAGCCAAAATTGCACTTGCCCCTCAATTCCTAATCTAGTTTTCGATTTAATGGAATACAAATTCATCATATACCATAAAAACAAATCCAGTCAATTCTTGAATAAAACACTGATTTAATGAATTCATCGAAAGCTTTGATCAATCCTTCGAGACCATTCCATCATTCCCTACACATCCAGGATACAAGAGGAACAAAGTTGTACTTTACAAGTCATAATTATCTGTTACGAAATAGTCACTCAACTTTGTCTAAATATCACTAGAAGTCACTAAACAATGTTTTGTAATAAAAAATTCAATTCAACTTTACTCAAAGTATCATAGAAAATGTCTTATTTGTTTCCCTCTAAGTGACTCCATGATATTCAGGCAAATTTTAGCTTCTCTCCTCAGTAACAGACTTATTTATTAAAAATATAGTTTAGTGATTTCTGTGATATTTAGGTAAAGGTACTAACTTCTTCATTATAAAAATATTTTTGTTACTTGGGTACAATAAAGTAAAAGCTGAGTGTATCAATGATATTAACCCAAGAGCCGCTTCTAAAAATATACCAGTTGACATGCATGTCCTACATAAATGAATAACATTGAGACATCTATGTAATCTAGCATTTAGATTCTAAATTATCTTTAAGGTTTTTGAAATGACCAGATTCTTGTTCTGATGTTAGGATAATCTCATCCATTAACATCTAGTGGATCATTTACTAATATAGGGAATGAATTTCATCATGCCTTATACTGTAATCCTCCCCCCTACTTGTGTAAGCATTCTTATGATGATGATAGTACATCACTATAAAATTCACTCCTTGGAAACAAAGTAAAAGATAATGGAGAAAATCTGATAATGCCGCCACAACAAGGGCATTCAAAAATTTAGCAACCACCACCAACATAAACAACCAGATTGACTGTATAGTGACAACAGTAAGGTTTCAATACACTTTAAACTAGAGGATAGATTCTTGGACCAAAAAGGAAATACAAAACAAAAGGATACATATGCCACCTAAACTTTTTAAGAAAAACATGCCACCTAAACTAAGAGTAAACCAATTTTTTTTCCTACTTTGCTTAAACCAAAATCAATATATCAATTCGAGACAAGTGCAGTTGTCAACAAACACCCCATCGGAAGTACAAAACTACCAAATCATACATGGATCGGAGCACAGTACCTTACACTGGAGATTGGTTATGGTAGACTTCAATAACTGATCACCCACTATCAACCTCAGCCTTCTAATGAAATCGTTCCGGGAAATTTTCTTGCTCTAAGAAGAAAACAAAGGAGAGAGGTTCAGGGCGCAGGAAGAAAGTTAAAAAGGAAATTATTAGACACAACTGTCAACACAACATACCCTGAACAAGTCATAATGTGCATGAACCAATTTCAAATCTTTTGGAGACACTTTAGCTGAAATAGCTCCGAATAACATAGAGAAAGGCATCCAGGGGGATTTAGGGGATTTATTTGTACCCACACCAACACCACGGGATTGCTGTATGTTTCTTACAAATTGACAATTCCCCTAATAGCATAAAACAGGAGATGTTAAAACAAGGATATTAACTTATTGAGAAGACTTGGGCTAAAAATCCAAAGAAATTTCCATACTTCTTTGCAAGTGAACGATAAATTATTAAATGAAAGAAAAAAATATCGAGCAAAATGAAATAACTTTTCCCCCAAAATTGCAAACACTAGAAGAAGGCAGAGGCTAAAAATAAAAATATATCTTTTGAGTTTTGACTAGGTTATTTCTTAACTAACAGAACAGTTCCAATTAGAAAACAAGCAAAACTGCCTTGCCACCTAATAGTTTCTACATGTAGATGTGCTATGTAAAGCAATTGCATTGACAATCTCATTACTGTGCCAACAGCAACACAAGTCACAAGCCAAAAAGAAAGAAATTTATCACCCAGTTTGCTTCCTATGGTGTCAAGATATCATCATACTGAATGCTCCTTTAGCTAAAACTTGAGAACAGTCCCTCACTGGAAACTACACACACCCTTTTGCTTAGACTCGGAAGAATCAACTAAAAGAAGAGATCATTCTCTTTCTTCCAATAGTAAGATTACCGTAAGCGAGGAGATCAAGTGCAACAATGCTTAACATCAAAACAGTTTTGCTGACAAAATGATCAAAATTTTAGAATTCACACATCCTCTGAGAAGCTAACTTTAATCCACCTCTTACAAGTTCGCCAAGGTCTGTCAATGAATGAACATTCATATATAGGCAAAAATATGTGCTGATACAAAGCCTTCAAACCTCATATTGCAAATTCTTGTGCGGACCCGCAGCAAAAAATACAATCTCAAGTCATAGATCAGTTTTCTGAAGACGAGCGCACAGAAGGTACCCACTGGAGCAATCAACTTGTGCCAAGAGAAGCACTTCATGTTACCCCATATTGATGTAGTAAGGAAAATAGAACTCGCGTTAGTTATCTTCCCCTCAAAATAATTTTTGTTAACCTCTATCATATTAGCAAAACAATAACAAAGACCATTTATATTTACTTAATTTTTAATGCTTGCTGTTCTTTTTTTTGGGGCGGGGAATCGGGTGGAATGAGGGGCAAGTCGAATGAAGGATTACCAATTCTGTAGGCAATTTATTCAAGTCCAACTGCTCCTCAGATCCCTGAGAAGTAACTCTGGAGACATCAAGCCGACTTTCTTCCTTTATTGGAGCCCCTGGAAATAACATACAAACTCAGAGCCACTTCTGAAAATAGATGGTAAAAACAAACACAACCAAAATTAAAATGTATTTGAACATGAAGATTACTCAATCAGTAAGCCAACCATCAGTGAGTGGTAATAAAGTAATTTGAAAAGTATAATTACTGAATGGCACATTAAATCGGCATAAATGTTCTTTTTACGCCTTGGATAAATAAATCAATATGTTATGCTGTAAAATAGGTGGAACATCTTTATCTCTCTACTTCAAAAATACCTTTGAGCAGTGTATTATGATTGCAAGTTTCTCTCTTTTAATCATTGATAAGCTAGTCTTACTCTAGAACCTTCTCCATAATGATATAAAAGTTCTTATGTATTAAAATAAGGCATCGTGGAACTAAATAGCTAGTGCCATCGTGTTTAACGTCCTCCAAAAGCCCATAAAATATCAATGATGTAAGCCAAAATCCCACAAACTTCTTAACAATGGACTATCAAGCCCAATTATCTGAAAAAGACTCCAAACAAATTAATCTATGGTTTCCAAGCAATGTTCCATTAAATGCAGCCTTCAGCAGTTCCGAATACATTTTGAAAATCTAAAAAAGGAAATCAAACAAAATATAATAACGATGACCATCAGATCATAAATAGTTTAGATCAAGATCCTTCAATGTGGGGCACTAGAAATAGAACAATCACATAACAAGGCTAAGAAACGTGTCATTGTCACAGTGACCCGAATCCTCAACATTACATGTGCGGAAAGTGACAACACAACC